AAAAATCCGATTCTTATTAGACATTCATTTAATACATCTTATTATTCATTCGTGCGTTAAATGCATTCAATGTTTGCTTTGCTTATGACATCATTTAATCCTACGTTCAATCGATAGTAAGACTTCATATCGGAGATTAAAAAACACTTTTTAATCAAATTTTTATAAACTTTAAAATACAAAGAATTTAATGGTCTCTGAGGTAATAAAATTACTTTAAAAAATAATACTTAAAATACATGTGTGTTACAAAAATAAATGAATACTAAATTTTCAGACTTAAATTTCTCAAAATAATACGATTAATAAAACCAAAAATTAAATAATGATTAAAGAGCTGCGGGATTAAGACGATATACTGTACAAAATATATGGCTATCAGTTGAATGGCTACGCGGTTGCCTTCCCGTTGTCACCGGTAGCCGAGGCAGCCGTGTATTGATAGCGACTTCCGTTTGTATCGTACTCTCGATTGGCGTTATAGAAGGCGAGACCGAAGAAGGCACAGCTGCCGAACAGTAGGATCGCACCGAAACATAACAAAAATGGTCCTGAATATAACAAAAACACATGTCAAACGTTAGTAATTAATTGGCAAATGTGGCGGATATTCATTAATCGAGTAATTAATATGTGAAAACGGTTTACTAACCCACTAAACGGGGAACACTTGCGCCCAGATATCTGTTATAGTTTTCCTGGAGTTAACAACAAAAATGTTCAGTTTTAGTTATAAGTTAATGAATTAATTTTCAATTAGTTTTAATTAAGTTTTTTGTGGTAATTATCCCGAGTGTTGACTTACATCATAGTTGGGTGGAGTGATCTCTGTGTAAGCGATTCCAGTGATGACGGCGCCGGCGATCATAAATATAAGGCCTGTGGTTGTTATGAGAGGGCATTTAATAGAGTTTTATATAAATGTCTATAATTTATAGGCTTTTAATAGGAGTGTAATATCCGTTACCTAAGAGTCCGACTCCGGCCGAACACCAGCCGACGGCCGCGAAGTTTCCCACCTGAGTGTAACGACTCATGTCTTAACCGATATCACAAATGAATGGCTCGGGAATGGTGTGACAAATGATACAACTATTACAATTAACTCGACTTAATAAGTAGTGTTCAATAAGTAAACGCTGATACAAACGGTGTGTCTCTCTCCTAGAATACCTAACCAACGCCTAAACACATCTCTCAACGCATTATTTTAATTGTTATCACAAAATAACTTAAATATAAGGTCTAAAAGTTGTTTCACTACACAATGCTTAGCCAGTAATCATCGGAGGAATAACTGTTGCGATACTGTTGTTAGGAGTGAATAATACATATACTATTCTATACTCTGTATTGCACTTCCGATTCATACAAATTCACAATTTGTCTCAAATCAACAATTCTTGCGATAATCGCTATGGATATTAAAACTTATGTTTTCGACACAATTTCGTATACAAACAATGCATATCTTATAATTTAATGTAATTATTAAAGTCATTGGTTTCTAAAATCATTTATTTTATTTTCATTTTAAATTGACTTAAGATTAGATTTATTTTACATCTCATTCATTGACTCATTTGTTTTGTCTGTATTTTTGTAAACTATTGATATTTAATAATATTTATATAATAATAGTATCGATTTGTTAATTATTATACAACTCATTAGAGAATTAATGAATAATAACAATCAGTTTTAGTCATTTAATGTCATTAAGGCTATCGTGAGACCCAGTGGTGTGTCTACACGTCTAATGCCATTCAAGTAAATAAGGAAAATATCACTTTAAAAATCGAAAGCAAACTTTTAAGTCAACAATAATAAAATCTTACAATTAGTTTGATTTTGTTTTGTTTGGTTTTTGGGGTTCATATGTGCCCTTAGAATACACAGAGATATTCAGTCGTCAAATGGGACTCGACTCGAGGGCACACATCACAGACTCAAGTGTTTCAGAAAATATTTTCTTTTAAGACTAAATAACATAAATTTAATAGTAATAATTTTTTGTTCATAACTCAAACAATGAATTATTTATAAATCTTTTTTTTGTGTAAAACTAAATAACTTAACGAATAAAAACAGATCGATGGCCAACAGTAATATTGTGTTACAATCGATAATAACAAATGGATTGTGATTTTTTGTCTTAAGTTTTGTATTTTTTGTTTGCATAGCTTTCTGTTGGCAATCGATGTTAAAACGTAAAAACGAAACGTTCATAAAAATGGTCAGCTTTTAGTTTATCAGCACCTCTTCAATGATTTAACTGATGACTTAATTAATAACTTCAACGATAGTTAAGATCAACGCGTGAACAGGAGTTCCCCGAAAATGAATTCAATTATTAGTCGTTAATTAATTGCTAATTGTAAAGTACGTTCGCTAATGACCTAAAAGTTGAAGGCCTATTCACTCGCCGACTAGAAAATTATAATCTCATATTTGATTTGTTGTGACTATAGATAACAAATCTAATGATTCGCTAATAACTACCAAAGTTTCTCGAACTCAACGCTTTCGAAGCCTTTCTCTCGCATATCCCAGTATTTGTCGCTATATTTGTAGGTCTCCTCGCCGTTAATCATCTCTTTCCTAAACAATCAATCAAACCAATCGTTAATACAATTGTGACAAACATTTTTGCTAAGCAACTGATGGCATACCTAAACCAAAGCGGACCCCTGTCTGGCTGTCCGTTCTGTTCCCGGAGTTTGCGGCGTTCCCTCTGTTGCTGTTCTAACTGGAGTTTCACAGTCTCTGCGCTCTGAATGTTTCCCTCTTCAAGCAGTCTTTGGTCGGCTCGGAATCGGGTGTCCGTCGGCGGCAACGCTTTCTTCAACTCCGGCGTCAGTTCGTTGAGCTCTATGGCGAACCGACTGAAGCCATAGTAGAGTTCGTAGTCCTGAGGCATGGACCCGGGCCTCCAAATGGTTTTGGCACCGGGAGCACTGCCACAATGCAACGACTCGTTCCACTTGCCAAACAGCCGCTCAATCACATCCCCGTTGGCGTTCAGCAGCACTCCATTCACTTCGTGCTTCTTATTAGACCAATAGCTCGCCTTTTCAAACGTCAACCGACACGTGAGCTCGCCGTCCGTTATGGTGAGCTCGCCGTAGTTGTCGACCCAACGCTGCCCTTTGAACAGGTTATGGACACAAGTCGTCACTTTATTCCAGCGGTAGTGAGCGTTGAAAGGCTTGAGGAGGACGTGAACCGTTCCGAACGGAATTATTTCCATCGATTTGCCCCAAAACTTACTTTTGATTCTCATGTCTGCATAACAAACACAATCATTAGACAAACCGAACCGCAAATACAGGTCTAAAAGGACGGATACCCTGCCAGAAGATATAGTTATCAGAGTCGGCCCAACAGGCGGACACCGGCGGGTGATGACTGACTTGTTCCGATATAAACCGGAAACCCTTGTCCTCGCGAACGCATTCGTATGTTTCGCCCAACAGGGGATTGAATGGCTTGTGTCCGGCCCTATAGTAGGCCGAGCTGTAGGAGGAGACGGCAAAGGCGGCGATTTGTAGCATTCGTTGGCGATTGTCTTCAATTATGGACGCTTTGTCGAGGAGTTCGCTGTACTCGAGCTCTTCGCACAGACGTTGCAACACGTTTAAGGGCTCATTGATTGTGACCGGCATTGAGATCTTCGACAAGTCTTTGCCGATATTCTTACATAAAAGACTCCACAGCGAGACATCGCCTGCGAGATGTGAATCACATTTAATATGGCATTCAATACAAGTCACTAAACAATTGGCATACCTGTATCGGGCTGAGGGGCTGGCAGTTTCGATCGCCGACCGGTTTTGTTGGCGATCGATATATTATCGATGGAAGCTTTGGATAAATTCCTGTATTCGGTGCCGTCGTCACTGAGATCAGTGGCCAGACTCTCTTCGTCCTCGTCCTCTGTAGATGTAGTACAGGCCGAGAGGTTCTCTTCGGCGTCGAAATACTCCGATATACTCAACACAGACGTACTCTCGCGAGACGCCGAGTGCGCCAACGGCTCGTGGATTATAGTCTGCTCGTCGACGTCGTCCACTTCTGTGACACTCGTGGCGGCCGTTATCTGAACGGCCGCTTCGGGAGGTATTGGCGTAAAGGAGGACACGTTCGATGTCTCGTGAATTTGTTCCAGTCTGGAGCGCAACTCCTTATTCTGTTTGAGTGCATCGGACAGTGATTGTCTCAAAGAGTAGACCAAATCAATGTCGTGGTGTATCGACTGATTGGCCGGTCGTTTGATTGATTTCCTTTTGGAGCTCTCGTTTTGGACCAAACGATAGAGAGTCCGGAAACAGTTATTTACTGCAAAAATCGGTTCATTTTATTACTTCTAAAAAACAGAAAAACTTTTTGAGACATACCATCGTTCGCGAGACTCACGAAATCAATGATAGCTTTTGTCGATTTCATCGAATCAAAGCCCTGCGAGTGGTCTTTAAAGTCGGTCTCCGCCTCATTGCACGACTGTGTCATCCAATCGGTGGAACTGTTGGGCGCTAAAGACGTCTCGTTGAGGACCGTAATCGATGAGCTCAGGTGATGGCCGATCGGCAGTGGCTTTAAGTTATTCTTATCGACGAGCGCCGAGTCCTGATTCTGAGCGTTTGGTTCACCCTTTTTGGTGGTTGTCTTATCGGTGGAAGTGGTGGTCGAGTTCTGCTTCTTTCGGCGCAGAAGGAAACGACGCCTTTGTTTCTTAAGGCTCACAGTCTCTGAGGAAGGAATGGCGTCCGACTTGGAGTCGATCTGCATCTCAATTAACTTCAATAATGAGCTCAACTTCACGAGCTTTAGCTGCAAATCAATCAACTCTTTACTGAAGTTCTTGTCCGACTCGACGGCGGAGTCCAGTATCCAAGCGATCACTTTGGAGTTCATCTCGTAGTTGGGAGTCGTGTCCCCACTGCACACCACTGACCGGACGGGCGTGGAAATGGCGTTAATTCGGTTCCCGAAAGCAATCTCGTGCTGTCTGTACAGCCGGTGATGTCTCAGCATTGATATCCATTTGGTGAACAGAATGCGATTCTTCACTTTTAAGTGAGAAATGAATTCTTCGGCGTCGATATCAATGCGCTTTGAGCTGCGTTTAGTCGATATGACGGACAGCCCCACGTCAACAGAGCCGTGAATCTTGCCTTTCATTATATCGTTGGCGCTCTTCGAGTACGAGAGAATCCCGTTCTCCAAATGGAAGTACCGTTTGTGCCAACCCTTGAGCGGCCACTTCCTCCTCTTCAGCATAAAGCCATCGAATTTGTTTGGCTTGTCTTCGCAGCGCTGGCCGTCTTTGAGTCCCTCTAGAATCTCCCACTCGTTTCCCGTCTTATTTGATCCCGTCTTCTGCGACGAGTGAATCGATTTCTCCGATTCCGCGTATTCTTGGCGTTCATTGTGGGGACCATTCACTTGGAAACCGTTGGGACCCGTTATGATCGGCAGAGTTAGCGCTAGCTTTCGGTCGTTGTCTTGACTCTGAGCGCTCTGTTCCTATTGAACCATCAAATGGATCCCATTATCAGATAAGACAACTCAATGGCTATCACTGGAGTCAATAATCAACAGATCCAATGACTTACCGAATCGGACATCTGATGACTCGATTGTGTGTGTATTTCATGTGATTGTGTCGATGGGAACAAGTCGTTGACAACAACCGAATTACAGTCATTGAAGGTGTAATTGAGTTGCGGAACAGTTGAGGACATAATAATCCGGTGATGTCTTCGGGGAGGACTGCGATTGGGTTTGAGTCACAGAAAGAGTGGCTTTTGTGTCAATACAGGCGTTGATAGCAATGAATGGTATGTCATATAAAACAAACACAACGT